ATACCAAGTCGAGACCAAGACCAAGTTAAGACCGAGACCAAGTTAAGACCAAGACCGAGACCAAGTCGAGACCAAGACCGATACCAAAGTCAAGACCAAGACCGATACCAAGTCAAGACCAAGACCGATACCAAGTCAAGACCAAGACCGAGACCAAGTTGAGACCAAGACTGAGACCAAGTCGAGACCGAGACCGATACCAAGTCAAGACCAAGACCGAAAACAAGTCGAGACCAAGACCTAGACCAAGTCGAGACCAAGACTGAGACCAAGTCGAGACCAAGACCAATACCAAGTCGAGACCAAGACCGATACCAAGTCGAGACCAAGACCGAGACCAAGTTGAGACCGAGACCAAGTCGAGACCGGAGGGGAAAAAACACACTAGTGTGTGAAGCTAAGCAATAACTTGTGAGATTTTGTTTTGGATTGCCTGCCTATCTCTACCGATTTAGAAGTCTCCACTAGTGAGAGTGTGTGAAAAGTGTCAATTGCGTGTGTCTCACGGTGAATTCGCTATATTCAAATAGCGCTATTAATGGCACTAGCTTGGTCAACATCAGCGAATGCTGTCTGTCAAAATTAATGTAATTCAAACTAACAATAAAAATGTAATATGAACAAAATGAATATGAACATAGGTAAAGGTGAATGAGAGTAGCTTGAAGATTTCATATTTAAAAATCACTTGACCTCAACCAACGTGCCTCTGGAGTCAAAATGTCCTCAATTGGCTTTATGCACAGCTGCACTACTTCCTGAACTTCAGCCAGCTCCTTGTTTCCTGTCTGGCATTATAGGTCAAATTGATTAATTCAGGTGTCTCTGACCTCAGTAGTCATGGCAACAATAATCAGACACACCTGAATTAATCAAGTTTGCCCAATAATGGCAGACAGGAAACAAGGAGTTGGCTGAAGTTCAGGAAGTAGTGCAGCTGTGCATAAAACCAATTAGGAGTTGGCTCGGCTTTGGCTATGGCTCTAGGGTCGTTGTGAAGATAGGGGCGGAGCATAGAGACTATGCTGATTCTCGTTTGTTGCGCTAAAGTAGACCAACTCACTTGGTATACTGCCCCCATCTGGTATGGAATGTGGAGTATGAATTGATGTTTTGGCGGACATTACACCAGGCACCTTAAACTGATTGGTAGCAATCATGGCATTATCTACATAGCACAACTGATTGGTTGCTGTTGAATCCACGGCTAATGAGCTTGCTGCTCAAATATTCAAATACTTGCCATTGTTTGATGTTACTGTCTGCAGCGCTCTTTCAGAACGCATCTGGAATCAGCATCAAAATGGTCTTATATTACACGTCAGCTAGGCTTGCTACGGTCGTCGGTGTTACCAGTGTTCAGTCGCAAGTTTAAAGCCTTAAAAATATTGAACGCAATTACGCAGTAGTCGTTAAATCCTGCCTATTAACACACACACGACCCACAGAAAAGACGTGCGTCGGTATAGAGTTCTCCTTCAGGCTTGAATAGACCATAACACACAAATTATGCCAAAATGTCCATAAGAGCAGTCTTAAACGAACGTAGAGATTTGTGAGAAAATGGGACGCGTGTCAGATCGCGTCTCTGTCAGCAACGGCTGTCCGAATTCGCTCACTCGTTATTACTTACGACGTTGCTCACGACGTTAATCTACTAACTCTTCTGACTGCTTTGTCGGACAAAAATGGTGGATTTTGATTGGTCAGATCACATACCTGTCAATCAAAAGTTAGTTTCGTTTTCAAACTAGCGCATATTCAGGGCACAATAACAAAACAGTTCTTTCCCGCACTACCGCACCGGTATGTATGCCCGTGAAAACGTGCACATTTTACGTTTGCCTTTAAATTAGCGATTTAAAAGCCCCCGCCGGTGACACCGGTATTAGCGGTGTTGTCACGTGTCGATTAACCGGTGAGAAAATATCCTCACCGTTACAACCCTAATGTCTGCACATTGTTTGGTCCGGTTATTAATTCCTAAATGGAGCAATCTTTAAAAGTTTTAAACTAGCTTCATGTTAGAAATGTTTTAAACAAGCATCATGTCAACAGTGCACAAGCGAATCACTGAAGCATATTGTATAAGTAGCAGTTCGTGTTTATGCAGCAGAGGTCTTGTATGTCATTGCTGTTTTATATTAGTGGTGAGCAGATCGTGGCACGTGGAACTGAAACAGTTGAAGCAAATGTGCCCTATTATGTCAAGGCTTCAAAACAATCCACGGCGACCCCTAGTGGACAGAACAGAAACCCAGGCCAAACGTGGCATAATAAGATCAAATAAGATTACCAAGTGTCTATATGTTCTTTTATCATGCGTCAGAATTTGATTTGTTTGTTCTATTAACTATTAACTACCATTATTCATTTAAATTAGACTAATGTCTAATTAAAACATCTACAAATGTACAAAACTGATCAGAGATCAGGTAAAACCCACAGATACTTGTTCATTGGTTCTCAGTAACTCCTCATGAATAATGGGCAATTAACCATTGAAATTTCGAAGTGGTCGGTTCTAAAGCCTCATTTACTGAAATCACGTGACTGGCAGTTTGTTACACAAACTGAGAAAAATTGCCATTTATTGTCACTGATATCCAAAATAATCGATATTGAATCAAATCGAAATCGAATCGAATTGCAAGCTTGTGAATCGAAATCGAATCGAATTGAGAAATTTGTCTCAATACCCAGCCCTAACATTAACATTGCCATATCCATTACCATGCCAATCTCTATTCTCCCGAGTTCTCATGACAGAATGAGATTATTGGTGTTTCCTCACAGTAAAACTTCTCATAACAAGTACTCTCCTTTGCATGTTTTTGTGAATAAGGCATTTCTAGTCCTGATTTGAATAGTTTATTGACTTCTTGCAAATACAAGTCTACTTGTTTACTGTCCTGATTATTATTTAAGGCACATTGCTGATTATTTTTTTTGCACTAATATAAAAATAGAACGCAGAGCTTGAACAGCTGTAAAACTTGGACATGAAGGAAATGTTTTCTACAGATTACATGGAAGCGCTCATACATCATGAAGATGGACCATTCAAAGAGGAAATGTGCTTGACCACAGAGATGCTTTATAAAAAACAGAATGACGAATCTTGGCCAATCTTTGCATGTTCTGCAGTCAACTTTAACTTTCCAGAGATCTAAAATGTCACGCTTTCTAAAAGCAGTTTATACAGCCATCAATCTGTGCAATGATCTGCATTTTGCATTTTGAGAAAAAGTTTGATGCTCTTAATTTTTTATCTTTTTTTATCATGCAAACAAATTAGCCAGTAAAATATTATACAATAGAGAAACAGGACAATTCAGATGTGTGTTAACATAAAATCTGTCCATTTGTGAATTGATGCGAGTCAGTCGTAAGTAACAAGGTGCATGCTTTACACAAAGAAGGGCAATCAGGGGCTCTCCTGCCAGGAACAATAGTTTATTTGCACTGAATTTTATTGGTGGGGCCACTTGCACTATAACATTTATGTTGGCCCATCTTGGCAATACAATGCTAGGGTGAATAGGACGGTGGTTGCCAGATCATTACTCTGTGGTTGCTTATTAGGCCAAGTTAAAAAGATTTCATACCCAAGTCTCTGAAATTCTGTAGTAGAAGTACCCTGTATACTTCCCTTAGTGCAGTATTTCTCAATGGCTGTCTTCAAAATGGCATACTACTCTATTTCTGCAGTATTAAGTATAGTGTGCTCCTGTTGTAACCCGTTTGGATCAGGGCGAGTACAACCGGAGGGGTTAAACATGGAATACCTGGATGACCTAAGTATATTCCATAGACATATACACTAGACCTCCCCTTGGCTACGGCAGTTCATTGGAACAAATGCGTCAATAGAGCCGCCATCTTGAAACAGGGGATCCCCTCCACTTTAATGAATCAGCGTCAATGTAGTAGACACAGGTCTAACGGAAATAAAATCACCATAAATCATCATGAATGCGATTTTTCTTGTTTTTTTGGTTTGTTCCAACGGTCAGACATGCATTTATCATTGATTCCAGAAAGAAATTTTAATTTTTATTTTTTAAACATTCTTCCTAGTTCAGATTTCATCCGTGAACATCATACGCTGCACAAAAGTCCGCCACTATCAATTAATTCGAAGTAAAGGCAGAGATAGCAGCGTTACCTATATACTTCCTATGACAAGACCCCTGTTCCAAGATGGCGGCGGTTTTGACGCATGCTTAGAACCCCAAGGTGAAGTCTAGTGTATATGTCTATGAGTATTTTCCAGCATCTACTAAATGCAACCCAAGAACACTAAAATTGATATGGAAGCCCTGTTCAAAATGGCATATCACCATACAACGCAGACATTTTTTTTTTCAGGACGTTTTCTATGCTATAATGTATTTCTATAATAAAATATAGGCTATACATCTTACCTTTCATGAAATGTGGAAGCAAATTGACAAAAATAAACTTATCAAACGTGTTATCTTTGCAAGCACAGACTGTATTAAGTTTAATCAGTCTCGCTGCTTATTATATGATTAGCAAACAAACGACAGTTCTTAATCACAGTGATTAAAGATAATTAAACGAAAATATTTCAAAATGATTGAACAACTAACGTTACCAAATAGGTGGCTAGCTAAGTGTAAGCTCCATAACGAAAGAAGTAGCCTAGTATGGCGCGCTTAACGTTTGTTTCCATGGTGACTCGTCGAGTCGTCGCTCTGTTGGGAATGTCTGGTGTGTTGCATGAACTCCCCGTCATGTTTTGGGGACCAGCATATCTCGAAAATGCAAGGTTTGGTTTAATCAACCGACAGTTCGGGGTGTTTGACAGTAACCCTGCTTTCTGGAATACACTCTCTGCTATGCTATTGCTAATCCGTAGCAACTCATGGCTTATACATTTCCAGAAACATTCCCCTTGATCACAAATATTAAACGGAAATATCATGCCACGGCGGGCCAGACAAAAAAACAAAAACAAAATACCCATAGCTTACCTTGTATGGTTGATGTCTGTTCTAAACACGTCGGAGTCGGCTGGGCTTTGAATTTAAGATGTTGATAATATCGTCGTAATCCAAATGATCTGTTATCAAAATACAAAAGTGTCAAGTTAAGGCGTCGTTTCAACTGTATCTGGATGTGTTTATTTATTAATAAACTTATATGATTAAGCCATTTTAACATAAAAAGGGCTCTGCTACCTGTTAGTTGGAATCCGAATATTATTGGGGCGAAGAAGAACATAACGGACGTGACGTAACTGAAGAGACGAATTGGCATATTCTTATTAATATACATAATAGTTCCCACAGGCGAATTAATGTCACGTGACCTCCCCGGAGACGCCATCTTTGAGGGCAAAACCGCTGTGTTTACCATAGGCGTTTACGAAGTTGTTTTATCTGAGAATGTCGTTTTACAAACAAATATTTATTTCTGTTTATATTGGTATGCAAATCATGAAAAGACAAAGTGAAATAGACTATAAAGAGACTATTAAAACAAGACAGAGAGAGGTACAATGCGAACATTTCATTCATAAATGGTGTGGATCCGTATGCAGTAACGAAGGAAGCACTGAGCACTGATGATGCCTCAGATACAGTATTTTCATGTGTCCCATTATCTGGTATTGGTGAGGAGTTTTCACACATGTGAGCAATTCCAAGCCTGGAAATCACTGGAGGTGTACGATCAGATTGACGTGGGGTTGGTTTGGTGACGTTTGCTCAAGTGCAATCAATTGAAAAGTAACTTAGTCATCATAGCGAAGTAGCATGATGATAATCTGTCTTTTAAAAAGCCATAGCCTGCACAACTTAATTCCTATGTACCCCTTAAAACAGTCACCGGTGCTTTCTGTAATATATATATATATATATATGTGTACTTGCAGGCGTTATGGTTCGGTGCAAATAACTCGCGTGCAATTTAATTAATGTAATGCGGAACTACATTATACGCGGGATCTTTAGGGACATAATCTGAGATTGCAATGCTGGAATGTGAGATCAAACAGTGGAAGCAATGTTGTTTTGTATGTTTTTAATACCTCGTCATTTTGTTTATTTTGTTCATACAGGACATTATTCAAACTGCAATGTGTTAACTTATATTTGTTTACACTCGCAATAAAACACAACATTGTGCTTTTGTCAAACAAATTCTTGCGTGTTTCGAGTGAGTTTCTTTCCTGTTTATGCTCGCCTGCCATAATCTCCGTCATTGTTCGGACAAAAGCTTAGTCTTCTCACATCCATGGAGTCTAATGACGGGTAAAATCCCGATTTAACTGAACCTCCGGCACGATTTTATCATCCATGGCAGCAGGAGATGACCATTTTCACTTTATAGCACGAAACTCATTTCACTTCGTTCAACTCGTATTGCTTCTTCCAATGTTTTGCCCTCAGCAATGGCGCCGGGTCGGCAAATACCCGTATGTTGTGACGTCATGTGGGAACTAGGCATAGACATTTACACTAGACGTCACCTTGGATACGGCAGTTCATTGGAACGAATGCGTCAATAGAGCCGCCATCTTGAAACAGGGGAGCCCCTCCACTTTAATGCATCAGCGTCTATGTAGTAGACACAGGTATAACGGAAATAAAATCACCATAAATCATCATGAATGCGATTTTTCTTGTTTTTTTGGTTTGTTCCAACGGTCAGACATGTATTTATCATTAATTCCAGAAAGAAATTATTATTTAAAAAAAAAAAAAAAACATTCTTACTAGTTCAGATTTCATCCGTGAACATCATACGCTGCACAAAAGTCCGCCACCATCAATGAATTCGAAGTAAAGGCAGAGATAGCAGCGTTACCTAGCTACTTCCTATGACAAGACCCCTGTTCCAAGATGGCGGCGGTTTTGACGCATGCTTAGAACCCCCAGGTGAGGGGAACTATGGGAACTAGGACAGTTCTAATGCAAGACAAAACAAATCACATTTAAAATAATTATTGCAGAATTGTTCAAGTTAAGAATTTTATTTAAAAATGGACTTGCCAGATTACCTAACTCCAATTGCATTTAATGTTGTTAAATTAATGTTTAGCATTTTTAAAATTTGATGTGTGTTACCATGATGGTGTTTAATGTTTGTGCGAATAACAATGTGCAGCTTCTATATGAGTATTATTGTGGAAGCCTGTTTGTGAGAGATATATCCAGCTGCAGACCCGCAGCACCACCAGTTTCAGAACCCCAGTTTCATGTGAATCTGATAAAGTGGTGATGAATGTTGAACGCTAGTGAATAACAATGAATCAAAACATATATTTATACTTTAATAGGATGGTAAATTTACATTATATCTGACAATGAAATATTATTTATTACTGTAAGTTTGTTAAACCAATAACATTGAGATACCGTATTTTTGACGGCAAAGTTCTGCTAACCACAGCTGCCAATTTTTATCTGTAAAAACAACAGGATTTTTTTTTTATTATTATTATTTTTTTTTTTACAGTGTACGATCAACTGAACCCTTTGTAAATTAACGAGAGCCTTTGACCATGTACATTTAGACCATTCCATTCAATAGTAATGGTTTATGGCATCGGTTCCCAACAGGGGGCTCGCGGCCCACAAGGGGGCCTCAGCGAGCTCTGTGGGGGGTCGCGGCATATTTTGAAGGTTTGAGCAATGAGCATTAAATAAAAGTCCTTAACTTTTTTCTGTTCAAAATTTACAAAATGTATATAATGAGTGAGTTCATCATGAATCCATTTTCCATTCCGTGTTTTTGTCTTATCCTGAACCTATATAAGTGTTTACATTGGGACTATTTTACACTGGTTCGGATCGCTGCCGCTGCGGAGTACTACAGTACCTGCGTGACTCGTCATAGACGTACACAGAGAGAAGTAGTTCCGGCTACACTATTCTTTCCGAAAGACGCATTATTCTGTTAATAAATGGACGTTTATTATCGCTCGCTATTGGGCCAAAAGCGTAAAAATAAAGCCTCACATTGATAAGCCTCACAGATAACATGCAAGTATTGAGGCCCCAGACAACAGTCATTTAATAGCAGATATTCTTTTTTTTTAACCTAAACAACAGTGTGAATATTTTTATTTTTGCATTTCAAATAGGGCCAATTAATAGGCTTCTCCTAGGCTTACGTTGTTAAATTACAAAGGGCCTACTGATGTTTTAGTCATTGTTTTTTCAAACAAACGGTATGTTTATGCACAAATAATAGCCTATAATATTGAAAATACAAACATATTTTGTTATCCTTGCTGCAAGCTTACAATAGCGATAATATCATTAAATGTGAAGGGGGGCCCTAAAATATTTTCTTGGGAAAAAGGGGGTCACAGACAAAAAAAGTTTGGGAACCACTGGTTTATGGTCTATAAACCAAGTCAAGTGTATCCGTTGTAGTTGATTGGATCGTGACGCGCTCATGGCCATACATGAAGAAGCACAGATATTGGCTTGGAAACTAAAACTTCAAATTATAATTTGGTTGCTGGCTGAGTTGAGTCAGTCCTATGAAATATTATCTTGACAAATAGGCCCAAAATCCTATATTCATACATATATCAAAATCATATATTAATACACCAAGGACTCAATAAAATCAGCCGTGTAAAATACCACAGTAATGTTAATAACATTTGAATACATTTGCTCATCCATGAATATGATTTCCGTCAGATTGCTCTCTGGAGTTGATAATATAGATGGAGTTGATTAAATACATGGTAAATGGAGTTGATTAATGATTAATATATTATCTAAAAGTACCAAATTATAATTTGAAGTTTTAAATAAAGCAGATAGATTACTAAGAAGCGCACGTTATCCCAAAACAGATTGACTGTCATTGAGTCCTGTAATCGTTGTGGGAATGTCTCATTATAACATTATAACTTCCAAGCCAATATCGTTTATGGCCATGAGCGCATCACGATCAAATCAACTACATTTTAAATACACATTCATCTTTCCAGGGGTGAAGGATCCCTTTAACAAGGTTCTTGACCTGTTGAAGAGTTTCATGCCTGTTTGTAATACTTTGGGTTACATCAGTAGCTGTGTTTACTTGGACTCTGATAATCTGTTTGTGATTGGACTTTTTGCCTTGTCAGAATAAAAAACAAATGTTACCATGTCCATTGGAATAAACTGGCCAGATTCGATTTATTGTAAGGGGTGATGTAAACCTTTCTCTAATCTGTTTGAAAAGACATTTAAACACTTGATCAGATTGAGAAGTTGGAGAAATGGTGTCTAGATGTTTGACACACAGATCAAGATTTTTCTAAAGTTCTCACTCATGGTGTGTGGAGTTTGCAAGACGTTGTTTCAGACTCATCCAGACGGCTTGTTTTGGCCGCAGGACAGAGCGTTTTTACTGCTCGATAAATAAAACCAATGGCTTTGTGCTGGTCATCTCCTAAATACTGTAGGTAAATATTAAGTCTGCTTTTTAAAACAAAGTAAATAAGCAGTGTAGCCTGGCTAAGTATGCACAAACACCAGGAAACACGAAAAGTCTTGTTTCCTAATCCTGTCCCTGGAGGCACACATGTTGGATGTCTCTCTTATCTGAATCCCCGTCTTCAGTCTCTACTAGTCAGGCGTGTTTGATTAGGAAGAGTTTGAACATGTGTGTTATAGCCAACAAATACCAACCCGATCTCACGACCAAGTCGTACGAATTCGACGAATGATTAAAAAGTGGCTAATTCGTAACAATTCATACGACCTCACTCGTACGAATTAATACGATTTTGCTAAATCGTACATATTTTACGAATTGGCCAATTCGTATGAATTCGTACGAATGACCTACCCCTTACCCCGCCCCTAAACCTAACCATCACGTGGGTTTAGACAAATCGTACGAATTAGTACGAGTGAGGTCGTACGAATTAGTACGAATTAGCCACTTTTTAATCATGCGTCGAATTCGTACGAATTGGTCGTGAGATAGTAATACCCATGTGTTACTAGATCTATGTTTGAAAACATTGTTGTTATTATATATTATTGTAATGTTATATAAAATGCTATCACTTTAATTATTATAACAGGACAGATAAAGTTGCAGTACCTTGAGATCTTAATCTTAATCCTCCTACAGATTGTGTAGGTTGGCCGGATGTTATCTCCGGTGGAGCTGCTCCCTATATTACAGTAGTATCCGAATTTAACAACGTCCTGTTAAAACTATTACTTTCTCTGGCTGACAAAGCTTCAAGATGCCAGGAGGGATGCATTTCATAAGTGATTAATCCAGACATCCCGTGCATGTTAGCTTCATCAGAGGCCAGGAAAGCCCACTGCGTTCACCATGGACCTCAGGTTCTCAAGTGCACTCATTAGTGTAACGACTCAGTCTCTAGTGCTTAGAGCTGTTAATGAATGTTATAAGTCTCCTGGGGGTTTTCTAAGTAGTTAAACAAGAATTGAGCAAGTTTGTTTTTTAACAGGGCATGCCTGGTATACCTGGAAATGATGGTCAGATGGGAATTAAGGTGATGTTTTTCCCCTTTTCTTTGCTCATGTGGACAGTATTTCAAACGTAGTGTTGCATGCACAGGCAATATAATCAGGCAACAGTTTTATTGTACCACACTCTCAGAAAAAAAGTACTGTTGAAAGGGGCTGTACCTTTTCAAAAGGTAAACTTTTGTCCATTTTAGGGAGATGTTTCTCACTGCCTAACATGAAATCCACAGGGAGGAGTCAGATCCAGATCCAACTCCTCCCACCTTACATACACCTAACCATACCCAACTCCGCCCCCTGATCCCTAAACCCAACCCTAATCCTACCCATCTCCACCCCTTGGATCTTGATACGACTCCTCCCCGGATATCATGTTCTGCATTGAGGTGCTACTGATTTTAGGTGTTAATATGTACATTTTAGGTGCTAATGTAAATTTTAGGTGTTAATATGTACATTTTTGGTGTTAATATGTACATTCTATGTGCTAATATGTAAATTTTAGGTGTTAATATGTACATTTTAGGTGCTAATATGTACATTTTAGGTGTTAATATGTACATTTTAGGTGCTAATATGTACATTGTAGGTCCTAATATGTACATTTTAGTTGCTAATATGTACATTTTAGGTATTAATATGTACATGTTGGGTGCTAATATGTACATTCTAGGTGCTAATACATTTTAGGTGCTATAATATGTACATTTAGGTGTTAATATGTACATTCTAGGTGCTAATATGTAAACATTTTAAGTGCTAATATGTACATTTTTGGTATTAATATGTACATGTTAGGTGCTAATATGTACATTGTAGGTGCTAATACATTTTAGGTGCTAATATGTACATTTTAGGGGTTAATATGTACATTTTATGTGTTCATATGTACATGTGCTAATATGTACATTTTAAGTGGTAATATGTACCATTTAGGTACAAAAGTGTACCTTTTGAAAAGGTACAGCCCCAGTGACAGCTTTTGTACCTTTTTTCTGAGAGTGTAGGCAACTTAATTCTATTAATGGTAAACATAATTAAGTGGCATGTTCTCAATATTTTTTTTCATCCAAAACCCATTTAACTTTTTCTTAAAGTCTCCAAATATAATTTTGTGTATTTTTGTGTATTGTATATACCAGTGTATTTTTTAGTAGTCTCACTATAAATTAAGCTATCCTAAACATATAGAAAATGTACATCTGTTGGTTTCTTGAAAGGGTGAAGATGGCCTGCCAGGACCAAAAGGAGCCAAAGGTATACCTGGAGACTCTGTAAGTAAATCTAAAAATATAGTAAACACTTGAAAAATCACAATGCAAAAGTGAGTGTAACTTTTAATATGTTTGTGATCACGTCCAATGCAAGTCCACTGATCATGTCATATCCAATCATAATGCAATACAATTGTGTTTTCCTTTCACTTCCATTCGTGCAAACATGAGAGAGAGGAAACACTCGCACACGTGAAGAGATTTAGATTGTACTCAATGTTTGTGAACCTGTGAATTCATACAGGATTTGATGAAAACATGTTTTACAAATTGATGTAAATGTCAACGTCACTTAGTGATCTCTTGGCTCAATACAGCGAACATTTGACATTTTGAATTTGCCTGTAATTTGTGATCGAGTAGTTATTAAAAACAGAAGTCCTAGATAATGTCGTCATGTCCTGTGTCTGATCCATGCTCAAAGCTAGTGTGCCTGCACCTAATATTTAAAGAGGACCTATTGTGGTTTTTCCCATATTCATCTCTTTTTAGTGTGTGTTGCTGTTTGATCAAGAACAATCTCTGAGTTCTCCTCTATATCAGTGTCAGTGTTTCTGAACTCCTGAAACGCCTCCATTGTAGTCTCGAGTCACGCACACGTCACAATATTCCTCATTTAAATAAGCAATACGCATAATGAAGGGGCGGGGCCTGGTTGAGTTAGTTAGTAGTGTATTAAACTGGAAAGGGGCGGAACATTTCCCAAACACACTCGAAGCCCTCGACCAATCACAAGCGGTCAATAATCATTCTTATGTTTAGACCCGAGTGTGAAAACGGACTAAAGACCTTTTAAAGGGTTTTAATGGATGTTATTAACTTATACGGTCAGATAAGTATGATTTAAACCATGCCAATAAAATTACACTAATACCTACATAGTTTTCCAGTCTATTCAAAAGATAGTAAGTCTATAATTTAGAAATGTATATGTAACCTTTATTTTTAGTTTTTATATATATATATATATATATATATATATATATTAGGTGCCAATCATGTTTTTTTTTTGGTCACACTTTATATTAGGGTCCAATTCTCACTATTAACTATGACTCAATAAACTCCTAATTACTGCTTATTAATAGTTAGTAAGGTAGTAAGTTTAGGTATTGGGTAGGATTCAGGGATGTATTATATAAGCACATATGCCTTATTCTGCATGAACTTAAGTACTCATTATTGACCCTAAACTAAAATGTTAGCAATTTTTGTTAATGGGGTACATCTATGCATGGGGAAACCATGTGGCATGAAATTGAGTGACAGTTTACATGAAATACGTCATGTTGTTTGATGGGGACATTAATAAAATCCACCGATCTGACCCATTTTGAGTGAAACAGGATATTCAACGAGAAGAAAATCAGGCCAGGACTCCCTGGGTTTTATCAATCAGGAATTGATCGGATCATGAAAAGTGGACGTATATAGCGATTGGAAAAGAAAAGGACTCAAAAACAAACAAAAAAACACACAAAATAGTGAATTCTGATCGCAAGTTAACTGCTGTAAAGTTAAGACCGTGTATTTGATTGTGTTTGTCTTTCTGCAGGGCGAGATGGGATTGGCTGGGATGCCTGGTTCAAGTGGACAACCTGGCCCTAAGGTCACAATGCATGTGTTTGCCTTAGTAATGTTGTAATTCATATGGAAAACATTATAGGTATTGATTACAGAGTTGGAGTCACTATTACATTATTATAGTGATTTCAAAGCAATTACTAGACAGATGCGAAATCCCTTTGTTCCGTTTGCACAGTTTTTCTCAGTCGCCTTTCATCATTTGTATAGACATGCATGTGGATTGCTACATGTGATGTGTAATTGTCCAGAACAAAAGCCATAGATTATAAATGGGTATGATACTTCAAACTTGTTCCGCTTCAAATCACGTTTTTTAGATTGTGTCCAAGGAGAGAGAAATCAAAGCGTGTCCAGATTTCAAATCTCTCGTGCGGTTACCGTCAAACTTCAGAATGCAGGCCAACAACGCTTTTCTTCATGACTTATTGAACACTTTGACACAAAATGGACATTTTTCATTTAAAAGAAAATGAGTGCAGAGAAAAGACATATGTGAACACTGTTACATTGTTTACTATATATCCTGAACACTTGAGGCCTGTCAACTTTTAAATCGGTTTGAGGTCGGAAAGATTTGTTAATGTTTTAAGACATTATTAAGGCAGCATTTATTCAGCAAGGACCAATGAGGTTCATTCCAACATATGAACACCCTTTCCACTCCCCAAGCCTCTCCTCAAGCCTTTGGGATATTTAATAAAAGTTTGGTAACACTTTACAATATGGGTGCACTATAATAAGCATTAATTCATGCTTAACTAATGCACATAACACTTATGATTATCTAAGCTATTCATTAATGATTACCACATTAGGAACTAATTAAGAGTCTGTAAGGTTAATGTATTAGTTCATACATGAATTGAAATTAATTAAATATGTAATTGTGGATTAATTCCATAATAACTATTTTTTTAACTAATAGCGTTAATTAATATGTTAATTACCAGAATGAGCCAAAGCCTTGTATTTCAACTTCCAGATAATATGACAGGTACACTAATATGCATTAATACATCATTAATTACTGCAAATTCATGTGCAAATTACTAAATGACTAGTTAATAATGATGTGCCCCAACAAGTAAAGTCATAACATAATGATACCTTTGCAAATCATTAGCTAATGATTAATTAAAGGAGACAACTAGAAGTTGAAGTGCATAGCTTTGACTAATTGTGGTAATTAACACATTAATTTACACTATTAGTTAATAAAATATGTTATTAAGGAATTAACACACAATGACACATTGAATTAATAGCAATTCATGTATTACTTAATCTATTAATCATATAGACTCTTTATTAGTTGCTGATGCAGTAATCATTAATCAATGGTTTAGTTCTTCATGAGCTATACATTAACTCATGATTATCTGTGCATTAGTTAAGCGTGAATTAATGCATATTGGCGCACCCGTATTGTAAAGTGTTACCAAAAGTTTTTACTGATTAACTTTGACACCCAAACTTGAATTTCCATTATTAGGGCACTAAAGGGGGAATTGGAGGACCCGGTCAACCAGGACCTCCAGGGCACGAGGTAAAATATTATATTCAAATCAAACCTTATCGGGTGGTTGAAAGAAGAGGAAACATACTCTATGAACTGCATTTTTATATGTTTTAACTTTATTTATTGTGCTTTTTAATGAAGGGTAAGCCTGGAGAGCCCGGGACCGCTGGCCAGCCAGGACATCCAGGAATGCCAGGATCCCAGGGACAGAAGGTGAATAATCAATATCAACTTCATAAAGATTCCTCATCACATTACATCTGGGGTTTGGATGTCTCATACATTTATGAAACTTTCTGAAAATGATTTTGTTACTGCATCCAAATTGCATTTATTTCTTCTGATTTTAATGAGAAAGAAAACTCTGACGTTGCATTTTTGGTCAGTCTTGGAGGCGAAAGCCCACTTTATGGTGAGCATATTTTCCAAGTGTAGCTCTATTAACTTCAGTAAGGTAATGA